TTAAAAAATAATAGATTCACGAAGAATATCTGTTTATTATGTATCACGTCAGATTTACGTAGACATTATTATACAAAGATTTTTTTATATTATTAGTCATATGAAAAATTTTTAAATACACCGCCGTGTTAACCGTTATTTTCATCTATTTCCTGATGTTTCAGAATAGTATCTATCCTTTTCTTTATTTCTTGCGGAATGGATACGACACTTTCGGATATTTCCTGCAAATTTTGCAATAGCGTCAAATTCTTTTCCTACAAAACAATGAAACATTTTTCTCTTTATAGAAATTATAAGTATACAAAATGAATAATTTTGCTAATGTAGCTGAAAATTTCAGATACAGATCTGAAAAACAATTTTATCGAGCCATTAAAATAATTATTATATAATTAGGATAATTAAACATAATGATTACCGCAAAAATGAATTGCAAAAATTTTTTATATTCTAATCAATTTGTACTTACATAAATATTTTGGCCCATTCAAATTATTTCCAGATCTGTATCTGATTAAATTTTTCAATACATTAGCAAAGCTACTATTTTTTTTATATGCTTTTATGGATGGACAATTAAAACGGCAATAAAATAATCTACTTCTTGATCCGTAATCATGGCATTTACGCGGGCGAGTTTCTTTTCGTTATCGTTTGCGGTTTTTCTTAATTGTTACCAATTCTTCCATCAGCGTTTTCCTCTGCGTCGTCAGCTCGTTTATCTTCGCGCGAATTGTTTCATTCGTATCTTCAGAACCTGATATTTTTACGCATGTCTCGTAGGTGACATGTATATTCTTGAGACGCTCGTTAAGATCTTTCCCTTCCAGTTGCACGTTATCCAACACAAATTGCGCTTTACACTGTAATTGCTTCACGTCGCAAATTTCTGTCTCTGTGCTCTCGTACTTTTCACGGCAGCTTTGTAATGTTGGTTTACAGCAATCTAACTCTTTTTCGACCCGATACAGTTCAGTATTTAAATCGATGCTATCGATGTCCATTGCGTCGTCTTTGCCAGACGCTATATCACGTTTTCAATTCACGGTTTCAATAAGTTAGTTGATTAAACATTTTTTATCAAGAGATAAAGTTATAAATAAGCAGAATAGTAATGATAGGATTACCTATATTGATCGCGTTTCGATCAATAACTTCGAAATTTCTGTCGAATTCGTCATTCATCTCGACATTAATTATTAATTGATCCCAATTTAAAAGATTCAAAATTGTCTGAGAATATTGAAAACACCGATCTTAAGCTAGTGGCGTATACAAAAACGTAAGTAATAAAATTAATTAGTCATAGCCAAGAATTTTAAAGTGATAATCTTATGTTTTCGATAATTTCCAATTTGACTAGCCGATTCGCGCTTATTGTTAAAGTTTATTGTTTCTTACGTTTTTCCGTTTGCCATTAGCTTTTTATAAAAGATGATTCATAATTTCGCCATGCACTAACGCCTCCCGCAAATATCGCGGCTAAAATGGGAAACAGTAAGCAAACATAGATGATAACGGAATAAGTACAGAGCTATTACGCATTAAATATATCAAATATTGTTTTTGACATAAAAAATTACATTAGGGATCGATTATAATTAATTTACTATTTTTGCTGACTGTTATAAATAATTATATATATATATATAAATTCTATATATTTCACAAATTATGTATAAAAGATTTTAACTTTTAGCTTTATTCGCATTGGATATGATTGCATTGAAGTTAGCTATTTTGATAATCACAGTAAAGATAAACTTGATCGAACTTTTTTTGTTTTCGAATCTTCAGTCCTAAAATTATATCACGACAGATTATGTAATCAAATTCGAACTGTTCCATATCTGATTCTTTGCTACCTAAAGCAAACTTCATGCGGAAAGACAAATTGCAAATTATCTCATCAAGTGTCGAACGTTTATCGCATACTATTGTTATTTCAGAGTTAGAGAAATTCGCTTTTGTAGATCTACGAATTATCCAATTACTAACTTATTTTTACCAAAATTTATTTATCTTTATCAAAAATACGTGTAAGTACATCATTATCTTATTAATTAAGTTTTCTCGAATAACTCGCCATTTCTTTAACAACTTCTAATATTTCTTAAAATAATTTTTTATATTCATACATTTCTAATTATATGTCATCAAATAGTTCTTTTTTATATCTATATATTTTTATATTTTTCTCTATATGCATATTAAGTATTTCACGTTTAATCCAGAAAACACGATCTAAAACGAACAAGTCGAATTATCGTGATTAGCATTTTTAGCGGATTAGCGGATTAGCGGATCCAAATTCAAAAGCGGCCAAGCAGCATGGCGTCTACCGCGTCGAAGAGTTTCCCGCGAAAACCAGCGCCGTCCCGCGATTGGCCGCGCTCCGCCAATAGCTCGGCGTCGCTCGCACGGTGCCGCGAGATGGCGGCAGTATACGATCACGGTGATCACAACGCACCCGCGATTCGCCATTGCGACGTGATTGCCTACCGAAGTTTGGTTTCGCGTTCGTGCGTGAGAATTCATCCCGGTCCATCCTGCGTTGGATTCTTTTGGCCGCGGCCCACGCAAAGAGCAGGTAAGGTTGAGAATCGCCTTCTATCGCGTGTGAACACGCGCCGATCGCCGCTGCCGCCGGTCGAGGAACGTAGTCGCGCGCACCGTAAGCCGAAACGTCACGCGTCACGGAGGCGCGTCGCGCTGGAGGGATACATTCCACTTTTTTTTCTTTTCTTGCGGGGGTTGATCCTGCAATTTTCAATCGTCATCGGCGATCGACGTGTCGGGATCGGCCACGCGCCTGTTTTTCTGTCGCGCGTGTGTTCGCGACCGATCTGCCGATCGCAGATCCACGATGTTTCGCGATCATTTCGGTCCTCTCTTTCCAACGTAAACGTTCTCGCACGCGTTTGTACGCCGCGATAAACGAGAGCGATACGCGATCATGTTTGGAGGTTATACACCGCGACGACGCGACGCGGCGCCGCGCCACACCGCGCCACATCATACCGCACCGCACCGCACCGCACCGCACCGCACCGTATCACACCGTACCGCATCGCATCATACCGCATGAACGATTGCACGCGACCGTGGAAGTTCCGACGACCAAGTCGATACCTCGGAATCTTTCACGTTTTCATCGGACTTTTTTGGCCGAGATGACACGATGACGCGATGTTTTGAATGATGATCTGGAGCGTAGTGCGATGTCATTAGAATGAGTCTCATCGCGCTATATGTTGAGCACGTAAATAAAATCCACGGCCGATTTTCGCACTGCGAAGTATTTTTCTTTGAATATTTTTTGGTTGAACTCTGAAATTATTTATTATTAAGATGCAGAAAAGGGAGTAAGGATTAAGAAAGCAATATAAGATCGATAATTTACTGGTATTTTTGATTTTATATAACTGAAATAGAAATCGATTGATGTAAA